TGTTCTTTGCTACTCACTTCTTTTAGAAGCCTGAGCATGGTACCTGCAAAGTTTTTAAGCGATGAACAGAGCTGAGGTGGTATAAAGGTAGCTGTTTGATGGTGAGAACTGAGACAGGAAGAAATTTCAAGGCAGCAAAGCTGAGATGGATTGGAGGGCTGAGACTAGGCTGAGCTTTCAGGTTGAAACTACACATGCAGCCTTATGCGGTGGGGGGGAGCAGTTAGAGAGTACCCTGTTGTCCAGCACTACAGCTGCTTCGCCTGGGTAGGGACAAGAGTGACTTGCTCAAATACTGCCCGCTGCTAACTGTGGCCAAGAAACTCAGTGAAGGAAGAAAGGGGCTGAGACTAGTTAAGCACCTTGTTTAGGTGGTCAGTCAGCTGTAAGGGAAACACCAGGGGGCTGTTGCCCAGACCCCTGCATTTCCCAAGGGAGTCTTCCCTAAGAGGGAGCACCACCAGCTGGGGACATTAGCATCCCAGCTTCATACATTGGACTCGGGTCTTGGAGAATTGAGGCTCACTTCATCCAACAAAAGCTTGTGCTAGACATTCTTCTTTGCAAGCTTTCAGGTATAAATACCTGTCATGAGGCTGAGGAAGTCTCTGCAGTTGGTGTGTGCTCTTCCTGGATGGAAGGAACAGTAAAGAAGCCAGAGGCTGGGCTGCATGCAAGGAAGCCAGTCAGCTAGACATTGGTATTTGATATATATATGGGGGGGAGGGTGTGGAGAGGTAGGGAGCTTTGCTAGTTTCAAGTCACAGAGAAGGCAGGGTCCATTTGCACTTTACAGACTAACCAAAGTGGATTAATTGATTGGTCTGTCCATGTGCTGAAAACAAGAGGGGCGGCTGAGGAGGGAGCTGTCTCCTGGCATCTGATAGATATATTCACCCCCATCCTGCCCTTTTTAAGGAGTACCCCTACAACCCCAGGGCTGCTCTGGGAGGGACACAGGAGTAAGCTGAAATGGGAGATACATATATGTACCAGATGCCAGGAGACGGCTTCCTCCTCAGTGGAGCCTCTATGATAGATAGATAGATAGAGATACGCTAGACACACATGCACATGTCTCACACATTTTGCATGTGTATGAACATACGCCTCACACTAACTTTTCTCTCACGCACATGCACGCTTTTCTCACAATCTTTTCTCTCTCTCTCTCATGCTGTGCACACACACGCTTCTCTCTCACACGCTGGGATCTCACACCACACACGTCTCTTACATGCGCATGAACATATGCCCCACACACTTTTCTCTCTCTCGCACACAAATGACTCTCACACATGCTTTTCACACACGCACACTTTTCTCTCTCACACACCCGTGCACACTTCTCACACCCGCACCTCTCGCCCCCCGGTGTCTATGCCCCAGTGCGGAGCCCGGGCGCACTGGTGCCGGCGGGACGGGACGAGACGAGGTGGAAGCCGCTAGCCCCGGTTCCGGGCGCGGCTCGGCTGTGCCCG